ATTTCACCATGTACCGGTATTGGTTTTCCTCTTTTTGTCGGATATCTCCCAAAAACAATTGGCTTAATATGAACTGCTGCACTCTAATCAAAACCACACTATTACAAATAGGTGCTTAAGGCCATGTGACATTCAAATTCCACTAAACTGGCTACATTTACCATGTCAAACGCCACACACAATGGACCACACACAATTGGGTTAGGTTCTGGGTAGGGATTTTGTTTCTTACTTTGAGGCTTGGACCTGATTTTGGGTTTGGTTTTGGGTTGACTTTTAACTTTAGTGTTTGACAATCAAATTTGCGTTAGGTTTGTGGGTGCAATCCGTTGGATTTTAATTTTTAGGTCAGACTCTAGGTCGTGTTTTGAGTTAAGGCAATTGCATTTTACTGTCTTGTTTTTTGTTGTGGTTCTAAATACTATCAAGTTGTTGTGGTTCTAAATACTATCAACCTCAGATTTCCAGATTCAAGACGTTGCGTATCAGATGTGCAGATTTCCTGGTATGATTGAAACGTCTTCTCTGATTCCTTGTCTTGTATTTTTGGATCCTTCCCTTAATAATCCCCTGCCAATTATTTCAGCATGTACGTTGGGCTATTTATATTCGATTTTGGGAGATGGGATGAAACACCATCTCCAAGATTCCTCCTAGTTATAATCTTATGAGTTCTTTGGCTTGTTGTTCTCTTTGTTGTTTGTTTCTATTAGTGAAAGAAGGGTCATTTTTCACCTACAGGTAGGGCTGAACCTGCAACAGTTTGGAAAATTATTCATCAGGTAATTTAAAATCCTATGTATTCAAGAGTGCTCAAATTCAGATGTGTATTCTGCTCACATTACTTCCTTTGAACATTCTGCATAATAACTTGCAAGGTTTTGACTATAAAGAATACATTTTTTAGCAGTTTTTAAATTATGACCTGTTTTTTACGTCTTTGCAATCCTGTTTGCAACTGAAAAATGAGAGGTGTGCCATGTGATTTTTTAAATGTCAAGGCTATAAAGTAAGGAGTGAGTGTTGGACTCTGGTAAAGGTTAGGAGTGAGTGTTGGACTCTTGAAATCCATTATGCAAATGGGTTAGAATGGTTGGGTATACACAATTTTTTTCCCACGTTTCCTGAACCTAAAACAAGATAACTTACAATTTAACATCAATTTTTCAAAGTTGGGAGATTTAAAGTATTCTATGTTTCTTATGGATTTGAATTGCTTTGTTTTTTAGACTTGGATATAATGACCATATCACATTTAAAAATATTCAACTAGCATGTTTAGAGATGTGAAAAAAAATACAGTAGCAATTTCAAACTGCTCTTTAGAATGTATAAAATTCCAAGTTGTAAATTTTAAACTCTAAAGCATCTAAAGAATAGGACAATCTGGTTTATTCAAATATGAGAGCTGTACCATTTGATTTTTTAAATTTCGAGGCTATAAATTAAGGAGTGAGTGATGGACTCTTGAAATCCATTATGCAAATGGGTTACGATGGTTGGGTGTACACAATTCTTTTCCCAGATTTCGCAGTGAATGTATTTCCACGGACTCATTGTTTTATCATTAGTTTTTTATTAAATTGCTAATACTAAAACTGACAGAGTGTGCATACCTTTTATAAAAGTCTCATCCATATTCAGACAAATTAAATAACATGCCAACGTTAGGCTTCAATTCATCTTCACATTCAGGGGGTACGTCCCTCCAATGTGCTCATTGCATAACTTACATTTCTTGATTCTGTTGCCAAATCAATCCCAAAAACTGCTTAGAATTCTGTCCGATGTGCTACAGATTTTTGGACTCAAAATCTGGCCAGAATTCTTCCCTGGGCTACAAAAACTTTGCACAAACATCCATAAAGGTTTGCTCAGTCCCTCTAGTTGGTGTAAAGTTCAACCTTAAACTGCCCAAAATAAGACCCAAAATCCAAACCAAAAAACAAAATCGCAACCCAAACCCTAACGCAGAAACCGAAACTCTAACCCAAACCTAGAACTTAAGATTAAATAACCAGACCCATAATGGTGTGTATGTTCCATTACAAAAGAACCACTATTTGAACTCCATTTATCGGTTACAAAATCAAAAACCAGTCCTAAATGCAAAAGCCAAAGCCAAAACAGAAAGGTAAATTGTTCCAATCCACGTGTTTCACTGTCACTCAATATCCTCCTAGCCAG